AGCGTTGTGTGTTAGAGATGTATTAACCTCATTGCTATTGTTTTTATAAGAGTCTAATGAGTGTTCAGGTGGTGAGTTTTGGGGATGCAATTGAGAAATAGAGCTCCAGTTTGCAGCCGGAGTTGTAGTGAGCTGTGTGAATGAGTTAGTTGGGACAGATTGTTGTGTAGATTGTGTGTTGACTGCTGCCGAAGTATGAACATGAGTGAGTGACTTAACTGAGTGTGAGTGAGCACTAGAAAGTGACTCGTTCGATTGGTATGAGTTTGGTGATATCTGTTGAGTTACCGACTGAAGAAGTGAGATCGGTCGGGTTTTGTGAGAGACTGTGTTGAGCGGCTTGTGTTGAGTTGAGAACTGATGCATATGTTTGATCTTGATTCACGTTAATGGGGTTTTGAATTTTGTAAAGGCGTCTAGCTTCAGCGTAATTGCATTTATTTTGAGGTTTAATTTTTATACCCGAGCGAACTTGTGCACAAGGGTATATTAATTTTGTTCACATAACGGTTGTTTGTAACAGCTAAAACGAATCGAGATAGATATAGACAAATGTATACATATATATTCAGAATGAATAGAGAAATCGACTAAGCCATGTCTGTCTGTCCGTCCGTCTGTCCGTCTGTCCGTCCGTCCGTGTACACGATGACTCGAGCAAAAATTGAGATATCTCGACGAAATTTGGTATGTAGGTTTCTGTTAGTCCAAGGTAGGTTGGTATTGTAAATGGTCGAAATCGGACAGTAACCACGCCCACTTCCCATATAACGGTAATTTCCAGAAATACGAAAACTGCGATATTTTAGTAACTACTGAAGATAATTCACTCAAAATTGATATTTGTAATAATTTTCAGACGAAAAATAAGAATATTATAAATTTTCGGAAAATGGGCGTAGCCACGCCTACTTATTGTTACATGTGTGTATCTTGGTCACCGCCGCACCAATTTCTTCCAAACTTGGCACAGTTGTTGGCCTTAGTACGTCATACTAAATGGCCGAAAATTTAAAAAATCGGGCAATAACCACGCCCACATCCCATATAACGGTAATTTTCGGAAATACGAAAACTGCGATATTTTAGCAACTACTAAAGATTATTCACTCAAAATTGACATTTACAACAATTTTTAGACGAAAAATAAGAATATTATAAATTTTTGGAAAATGGGCGTAGCCACGCCCACTTATGGTTACATGTGTATATCTCGGTAACCGCTGCACCGATTTCTTCCAAACTTGGCACAGTTGTTGCCTTGGTACAGCATACTAAATGGCCGAAAATTTAAAACATCAGACAATAACCACGCCCACATCCCATATAACGGTAGTTTAGAGAAATACAAAATCTTCGATAAATCAGTAAATATTAAAGCAAATTTATTCAAAATTGATGCTTGCAACAATTCTTTACCATGAAATACGTTTATGGTAAAATTTTGGGAAATGGGCGTCGCACCGCCCACTTATGATCACATATATGTATATCGGTAACCGTTCTACCAATTTGTACCAAACTCGGTATTTTTATTGCGCTTGCTACATAAAAGCAAAACGTTGAAAATTATTGAAATCGGACTAAAATTACGGCCGCTTTTCATATAACGGTAAATTTCAGAAATGTTTGAAACTGTAATATTTCGAAATTTAAGGACGCTAATTTACTCAAAATTTATAGACCCCGGCTTACCATCTAGCGGTAGCTTTCGGAAAGGTGAAAAAATATATATTTAATACTTGCGCCGGGTATTTAATGTTCGGCTCCACCCGAACTTAGACTTTCTTACTTGTTAGTACTTCTTTTTCTTGCAAGTACTTTGGGCAGTCTTTGTGAGGCAAGTCATTGTGAGGGGGGAGGTTGCATCTTTCACTGGTGGAGGTGTTGCTGCACCTTTTCATAGTATGACCCAGCAGTTGGCATGAGAGACATCTCATAGGATTAGGAAAGTACTCTTCTACTCTCACTGAATACCATGCTATGTCGATCGACTGAGGTAATTTGTACAATTTAAATGAAAGCAAGTTTCTGCCTGTTGGAATTTTTACATTGTTAACAGTTTTGGTAAATTTGTATATAGCAACAACGCCTTGTGGTTTAAGAGCTTCTAGAATTTCTTGTTCGTCGGTGTGTGCCAGATTTTTGTCAAAAATAGTACCTTTGCAAGTATTTAGGGAATCGTGGAAGCTGGCAGAAATAGGGCATAGTCCGCCAAAGTTTTTGCATTTAATGAACTTTTCAGCTACTTTGAGGGATTTTGCAAGAATAAGTAAGCTGTCGTCACGGAGAATACTCACTGACAGGTACTCTGTGCTTATACAATCAAGTGCCTTCTTTTTTGCGAAAACGCTAAAACTTGACAATGGCTTGGACGCATCGGTGGATTTTATAATAATAAATTTCGGATCGTTGCTATTGTTGTTAGTGCTCACATCTGGTAGCGCTGGAAAATGTGCTTTCGCGGTCGCTTTTTTGCGTTTTGCTTTCGGGGAATTTAGCATACCTTCAGCAAGTATGCTATAACGATTCCC